TACCACATGAGGTGCGAATGACAATAAAGAAACTCTGACTCTGACTCTGACTCTGACTCTGACCTGCTTGTCATTAGCTACGCGCCTCTCAAGTTAGCAAGCTAATGTTTAGATAACCTAGCATAGACTATTGCCTGGTAAAACATTATCCAGAACAATAAATTTAACGTAGAAGTAATTATATATATCTGTGTTAGTAACGTTATCTTTGTCATCCTCAATGAAATGCATTGTTTGTCTGAAATCTTTACTTCTCTACAAAGAAAAATAAACTCTTCTCCAGTCAATACTAATTAGACCTTCACCAAATGCGACTTTAAACAACTAACAGCGAGGGTGTTTCTTTGTTTAATTTATATTTATATAACACACTTTATAACTTTATGGTGACTAGTTGAGGATAGAAAATGTGAACACGCGTTAGGAACATTGTTTTTATGACCAGTGCCCCACTTGTAAATCTTCTGTGGGACTGCGTATAGTGTGGATCCGATTAGCTTAGCTTCATGGTTGCTAACAGCTGCGCTCAATAAACAACAACTCCACTCACTGTTTACTGAGATTCTTGGTGGTGGACAAAGATCAAAAAATTTCAGCCATTATATCGGTATCGGTGATAGCCAAGATTTCCATATCGGTCGGGCTCTAAACTAATTCAATAAATGATCATAGATTTAAATTAAATTGTTTTAAATAAGTAAATGAGCTGAAATCTTTCAAATATAATCCTGCTGAGTGAAATAAATCTCTTTTTATGGCAGAAATCTATCAGTCTGGCAAACATAAATGATAATATTTATTCTATTTTATATTGAACAAAGGACTACTTGTGCTATAATTTTAAAACAACACCTTTATGAATGCAGCACAGTTATATAAAAGCAAAGACACTTTCAATGTCAACTTTTATGAGTTTTATTACTGAAATCACATTTAGACTTGTGACCATCACACTGAGTGTTGTGTTTGAAAAGGATAATTTATGGACTTGTCACTAAAATTACTTATCAATTAAATTCTGTGATTGGGAATAAAAGGCAAACTAGACAAACAGGTTCAACAGAATCAATGCAAAAACTATTTTTTGCACGTTTAAATGTTTTCATATTTGATCATTTATTGAATGTAAATAAATCATCATTCTTGAATTTGTTGTCCTGTTTGCAGGACTGGTATGTACTGTATATATACTGGTATATACCACATGTACAGGTATAACTTAGACTTTGAAAGACAAAATATATTTCCTCTTGAAAAAAATGACAAGAAAATCTTATTGGAAAAGAAACGCTTCAATCAGAGGTTTGTGGTCTTCCAGTATGACCCTGACAGATGATTTAAGATTTTTACGACCAAACGTGACTCACGACAAGTATCGATATCAGTGGTTTTAGCTTGTGGGGCTAATCATAGTTGGACCGATCACTAGATAGAACAATTGGCGAATCCTACTTCTGGGTGCGAGCTTCGAGCTTTGACTTACGAGGTAATGAAGCGCAGTATGAATTTTGAGGTTCCCGTTGACTTTTATAACCTGCAACTCCACAACACTGATGTTCAAGTAAAATAAGAAACCTATAAATTATAAATTCATTCATTCTCTCCTCCCAACAGGCTTTAATTCCACATTCAGGCTTTATTGTCTGTTACAGCGCCACCTGCTGGTTAACATTACTCCTCTTTTCCTTCTCGCAGGCTAACGTTGAGCATCTGACAGAGAAAATGAAGACCAGCATTCAAAGAGGACTGGTGCTCAGGTCAGACACAAAACTGGACCTTTTTGTGATAATAAAAGCAAAACGGTGCAGTATTTGATTTATTTAGTATTTCAGTTTAAACGGCTTATATTAAACAGATCAGGGGTGCTCAGTACATTGATCATGGTCTGCTGGTGGATCTCAAAAGTATTCTGGGCAGATGGCATGTCATTAAAAATAAACGTCAGCCTATCATGTATCTATTAACTTTGTCACTTGATTGACAGACAGGGCAGCCAGTCTGGGGCCCCGAAACCTTCGGCCGCTCATTTACAGACAACATCCTCATTCTTTCTGAAACTGAAGGTTTCTGAATCCAGGTCTCTTGAGTGGAGATTTTTGGGGTAACCCCCCACAGAGGTGTGAAATGTATTTATTCAAATTTTTAAACCGTAAAAGATTAAAAGAAATCGGGCCTGGCTCAGCATTTTTGCTGTTGTACAGCAGGTTCCTGTTCTGCAGAACATTAAAAAAACACAGCTATCCAGCATCACATCACATTAATAGACACACAGACATACTACATTACAAAATAAATACAAGAATGGCAGCATTAATACGGCAGACACCCAACAGTAACGTAATAAATAACAACAGTTATAATAAATGTAAGAGTTATAATAAATAACAACAGTTATAACAAATATATCAAGTTATAATAAATAACAACAGTTATAATAAATGTAAGAGTTATAATAAATAACAACAGTTATAACAAATATATCAAGTTATAATAAATAACAACAGTTATAATAAATATATCAAGTTATAATAAATAACAACAGTTATAATAAATAACAACAGTTATAATAAATATATCAAGTTATAATAAATAACAACAGTTATAATAAATAACAACAGTTGTAATAATATAACAAGTTATAATAAATAACAACAGTTATAATAAATAACAACAGTTATAATAAATATATCAAGTTATAATAAATAACAACAGTTGTAATAATATAACAAGTTATAATAAATAACAACAGTTATAATATATAACAACAGTTATATATAACAACAGTTATAATAAATGGCAGGGAGCAGAGTGTTTTTGCGCTGCTCACCCTTTTTCAGCTTGTAGGAGCAAAACTAATCAAATCCAGGCTCCAAAGAGACGTGAGTGGATTCACCAGTTTGGACTAACTGTGGTCATGCAGACGCTGCATGCACGATGTGGGTTGCCAGATAAATTAAAAATGTCTTATTTGCACCCCTCCTTTTCTGTGCACATGTTCAACAAACACAACACACACATCATCATAGAATATCTTTACTCAACACATAAGACAGTTTAGATCAAAATACTATAATTTTAAAGACACAGTACTATAGTTCATCATTTCTTATCTGGCAACCCAACTGACATGGAAACTAGAGCGTTTTCATGTAAACCCACTCATTTTGTCTGGGCACCCCTGAAACAGATCGTGCAGGGATATGCTGACATTGTGCACTGCTGCTTTAAGTTGGTGTAAGTGTCCTTCTCCTAACACCTTGTTTCCTGTGTGTAGGAACGAGAACAGTAATGACAACTACACAACAGACTTCATCTATCAGCTGTACTCAGAAGAAGGGCGGGGAGTGTTTGACTGCAGGAAGAACGTGCTCGGACACATGCAGCAGGTACATTTGGATGGTTTCACCTTTTTCATGCATCGAAAAGCAAAGTAACGGACAAGCATCAAAACCAGTTCTCCATGTTGTGTTGTGAATATGCAAATCCCCTGTTGGCATCTTGTTGTCTTTGTTGTATTCTGTTTATGTCTCTCTGGAGTTAAAAGCAGACAAATATGGATCAAACAAGCTTTTAGTGATAGTGAGATAAATAAAGGGATGAAGAACCAAAGAAAAAAAACAAGGTAAAGCAAAAGAAAATGAGTGAAATTGTGTATTTGTTTTTAAAGGGAGGAGCTCCGTCCCCGTTCGACCGTAACTTTGGGACCAAGATCTCAGCCAAGGCGATTCAGTGGCTTTCTCAGAAGCTGCTGGAGTCTTACAGACGAGGTAAAGCTTCTCTGAACAGAATCATGGTACCATGAAGGATCCTGCAGAGACGTGGCTCAGATAAATCAGACCTGTGATGAAATCACTCCGATATTCTGACATGTTCTTGATCATAGATGTAGACCTTTATTAAGGAAAAACAAGACAAAGTTAAACACCTCTTTGTTTTTTATCTCTTGTTTTTGTCCTACACACGGATGACATAAGATGAAGGTAAATCTCTTTTATGAAGGCTTCCTGACCAACTTCATGTTTTTTCTTTAGCTCCATGCCCCCTGTGTGTCGTCTTGTGCTGGGTCTTGCAGACCTGCGCACATCCTGCAGGGCACAGCTGGAACTGTGTTTTATTTATCAGCAGCTGCCATGCGTTCCCATTTCCAGTTTCTGATTCATCTGAAAATCATTAGTCTCAAAATGAGTACCGTAATTGCCGGTCTATAGAGCGCACCTGAATTTAGCTTCTGAGAGATGTGCAGCTCTTGTTGTAGATCAAGAATCAACCACCAGATGGCGCTTTATAGACTTTATCTTACTGTTCAACACACACACAGAGTGAACCCCGCAGGGTGACACCTCCCCCACTCGTAGTTACTCTACTGATTGTCCCAACATAAAGTAATGCATAATGAACATGAACTAGACTAACTAGAACGGACTAATTACTAAAACAACAATGCTAAACAGCTAACTGAAATGATTAACGATGAACATAAATTTTACCCATAATCCCTCCCTGAGGCCATGTGACCAGCAGTCGACCACAATGAACCCATAAGTTAGTTTGATTGAGTCATAACTCGAGGACCCACCCCCCAAGAGAGATGTGTACTGGGCAGCTATGTGAGCCCCCGGGTGTGACGAGGCTAAATGTTTTTGGTGGCATGAAGCTCGTTAGCTCGTCCAAAAACAAACCAAACATCCATAAATTAGCCGCAGCGTTGTATAAGGGTTCAAAGCCTGTGAAAACTGTAGCTGCTGCAGACTGGAAAGTACAGCTGGATGCTGACCAGGCTTCTTGTCCAACGTTTGATTTAGTTTGTGATGCTTTAGTCATCTTTTAGTTGCAGCGATGCCTTCATCATCGTCATCATCTCTTTGTGTTGTGATTTTTGTTTCTTTAACTGTTAGATCATTCACCGCCCTGACAAAGTGAAGCCCTCACACAAACTCTTATCTGTTTGTCTTCATGCATGTCTGCGTGCTGATTCTTGTTTCCACCTGGAACTGAACGTTGTGTCTCCGCAGGCCGAGTGTTTGCCAACTCCGAGGACTCCTGCTGTCTCCTGGGGATGCGAGCCAGGGCTCTGGTCTTCCAGCCTGTTGTGCAGCTCAAGGAGGACACAGACTTTGTGTACGTTCATTTAGAGCTTTCAGCGTTCAAACATTTTAAAAGAGCTGGTAGATGTTGAGCTCTTTTTTAATTTTATTTAACAAACTCAGTCTGGAGAAATGGTTTAATTCTGACTGGACTGATGAGCAAATGGCTAGTTCAAGCGAGGTCTAAGTCAAGTAGAATAACTACAGTAGAACATAAGTTCACATTAACTGAATTAACAGATTTCATAAATCTACTCTGCATCAGTTATATATTTCGTAGTTATTTAGTCAATCTTTTTATGGATTTTTTTTTTTTTCCAGAACACTCACACAAAAAGAAAGAGGGAAACAAACATACAACAAAGTCCCCTCCCACAACAGATCAGCCACACAGACACGAACACGCAGGCATTGACTTATTTTCAACATGAGACATAAATGGATGCCAAATGTCCCAAAATGTCTCAACAGAATATCCTGACTCATGCTCAGGTAGAAAATCCAACAAAGTTCAGTCAGCTCCTCTGGACGCTTTGTTTTTGTTGAAACGTTTCGTCTTTCATCCAAAGCACTTCATCAGTCCGAGGAGCACCTTCTCATAGTGGTTCAAACCAGCTTTTGAACCACTTTGGCTACGACTGCCTCAAAAACGAGTCGGCGAGGGAGAGGGCGGACTCCAGAAACCATCTGAGCACCATCAGACTGGTTGACCCACTATGTGAAGGTGCTATTTATGAGACTGAGTTTGTTGTGGCTCCTCAGGCCGATGAAGTGTTTTTGATGAAAGACGAAATGTTTCGACAAAAAAGAATCTGTTCAGAGGACCTGACTTGAGTTTGTTGGATTTTTGACCTGGATTATTGAGCATGAACTTTGATGTTAGTTAAACAGAGTTCTGCATTTCTTTGCAACCAAGAATAATGGCTGCAGTAGCAGCTAGCTGTAGCACTTTTGATTGAGGCTTGGGCAGTTACTGCAGGATTTTCACAATATTTTTGCCAGAATATCTGCAATGCCAGACTCATGGTTTTGTAAATGTTCGTAAAATAAGCAGCTCTAAAGGCTGGAGTTTGTTTTTAAACATGTCAAAAACAGATTTTAAACCGTTTTTAAAAATCTTTCCATCTTAAAAGAAGTCCAGTCTTCAGGTTTTTATAGTGGTTTATGTCAACTATTCTTTGTAGACCTGTATGGTGCTGCTAATTTCACATTAAACGGCTAAATCAGCAGAAACATTAAGATATTCCTGTTTGAAGTACCTCGGGCTGCACAGGAAATGCTACAACCAGTTGCTACCGTTACCATTTGCAATTGTACTTCCATTGAATTCAATGGAAATGTTTGTTGTGTAAAATTGGACCCGTTTGTAAAAAGTTTATAAAATTGGATTGTCATTAGCAAATCATTCTGGTCTAAATTAAAATGTGTCTCCAGGCTGAGGCCTATCAAAGTGTTATCTATTACAGGTAAGATGTTTCTTCGTAACCCCTCCTCCATAGAACCCCACTTTATAGTGTTGGAACTGTTCCTTTAAATAACGAACATCATGAACACGATGCATAACTTTCTTCCTGCAGTCATCGGATTCCCAAAGAACAGTGGTGGCTGAAGCTGCGTCCTCTCATGAAGATCCTGGCCAAGTACAAGACGAGCTACGACGTGTCCGACTCGGGACAGGTGGAGCACGTCATCCACAGCCGACCCAAAGACTCGGACGCCTCCGTCGCCATGTGAAGGCTTCCCGCAGAAGTCCAGTCTGCGTGTGAGACTGAAAGTGCATGTGAGGTGTTAGTCCAGATGTTGTGACAGAGCTGCCGTCTCTGTTTGGCCCCCAGATTGTTCCATCTCCATGACTCATGAAGTTTAGCAGTGCTCCTGTTGTTTAAAAAGAAACGCACAGCGGTCTTGCCATGCACCTGCGTGTTCTTGTTGCCCTGGATGTTTAGTGTTGTTGTTTTTAAAAATTGCACTTTCTCTGTCTCCAGTTGCGTAGACAGGCTCCGATTGCAGAGCTGCACAAAGACCGAACAGTCACTTTATCTGCAGTGAAACCAGAGTCTGCCGAGCACGAGCGTGTGCCGTGTGCTGTGCTTTACACAGAGATCTAATATTTATATATTTAACATTGTTTATTTTGCTCGTAAACATAGATATATTAATTACTGTACTGTACGCCCGGCTGTACTTAGTAGTTGTTTTATTGCACCAGCCTAGATGTGAGACCAAGATTTCCACAGAATAAAACCAGACTTGAGAAGTGTAACGGACGTCTGTCATCTTATTTCACTTTAATCCATCTGTTTTTAACATTTGAAGAGAAGTGCATCATACACATGCTTTTACTTTGTCTTGTTATTTAATCAGAGTGAGTTAGCGCTTTGAATGGCTTTATAGGCCTGACGAGCTAATGGCTGGTCTGAAGTGGATTACTGTCAGCTCAAAATGGCCGCACTCTCAAAAATTAATAGCGGCCAATGCTAGTTTTATTCCTGTGGCCTTTAACTACCGTCAGTTTGCCAGTACTCTGATTTGGCTCCTCCTTCAGGGGTCACCACAGTGAACTAACTCACACAAACTCTTGACTTATTTTTACACCAGATGTTCTTCCTGACACAACCACAGACCACTGAGCTACCACACCCTCTGTGTGGAGCAGAGAGCTGCTGTCTAGGGTGCCTGGGGGAGCAGGTGGTGGGGGTTAACTTATCGGCTCAAGACAATTTAACAAAATTTCATACCATTGTATTTCAAGATGGACTGTTGCGTACATTGTTAATCACCCCAGCTCCAAGGTCACAAATCAAGGTCATATGTTGTAAAAAGTGTTTTTCTGTCAGGGCCATTGACAGGTATGCAGTACTTGTTACTAACTTTTCCACTGAAATCTACTTCTAAATGGATGAAAAAGCCATTCAGGCAGAAAATGCACGTTCCTGTTGGTTTGATGACTGACTACTGATAGGCGTGAACGTTCCCCCATACGGTCCTGAAAATGATGGTTTAATGCAGTCAGCAAAGGCTGGATTGTTCTCTTCAGGCCGAGGGTGAGGTTCTGCCTCAATTGGAGTTCAAGTATCTCTGGGTTTTGTTCACGACTGAGGTAAATGGTAAATGGACTGTACTTATATAGCGCCTTTCTGTCTTACTGAGACACTCGAAGCTCTTTACTATCTGTGTCCTCATTCATACATCACTACTGTGTTTTTACAAAGAACAATCGGAGATTTATCACATTCATACACTGATGGGGCACACATCAGAGGCCATAAGGGGTTCAGTGTCTTGCCCAGGGACACTTCAACATGTGACTGCTGGTGGAATCACACCCCCAACTCTTGCGTTGGAGGACGACTGCTCTGACCACTCAGCCGCCTGCTGGGAAGAATGGAGCGCGAGACTGACAGACGGATTGGTGCAGTATTGTGGACTCTACCGGTCCGTTGTGGTGAAGAGGGAACTGAGCTGTAAGGCAAAGCTCTCTGTTTACCGGTCGGTCTCCGTTCCTCCCCTCACCTATGATCATGAACTCTGGGTAGTGACTGAAAGAATGAGATCATGGATACAGGAGGCTGAAATGAGTTTCCTCTGCAGGATAACTGGACTCTCCCTTTAGTTGTTGAGCGTCCACACACTCACAAAGAGATTCTTGTTCAACAGAATCGCTCCCGCAAAGTTTACACTTTCTCTACATCAAGTTCTTTAGTATATGATGACAATT